CGAGTGGAGAGGAGAGAGAGAGAGAGGGAGAGGAGAGAGAGAAGCATGAGAAGAGAGAGAGAGAAGAGAGAGAGAGACGAGAGAGAGAGGAGAGCAGAGAGAGACCACGAGAGAGAGAGAGAGGGAGGAAGGAGAAGAGAAAGAGGGAGGAGAAGAGAGAGAGGAGAGAGAGAGAGAGGAGAATGAGAGGAGGAGGGAGAGAGAGAGAGACAGATTGAAGAGAGAGACGAGAGAGACGAGAGAGAGAGAGACGAGAGAGAGAGACGAGAGAGAGAGAGAGAGAGAGAGAGAGAGAGAGAGCAACAGAGGCAGAGGGTTTTTTATAGCTTGAGGCTACTGTTAGACTACTGTGTACTAGCTCACGTCTTCCACCTTGTGTCTAGCAACGATGCTACGTTACGCGGTTCGCAGGCAGGCTGTTGTCAAATTGACACACTCATGCGGATCGTCTGCGTAATACGTGTGCTGAAAACCCAAGCCAACTACTACACAGGAGGTCATTTGCATAGCCGGTCTCCCTGTGATAGCTACACGGCAACATCAACTCTGCTCAAATTACCGTCAGAGACCCGCCGAAGCATGCATGTCTGTTTACACGCGTAATGCATATCAATGAAGCACTAGGGGTGTCTGGCATTCACGGAGCTATTGCAGTGTACTATTATAAGAAGTGTAACATAAAATATCTCCTGATAATATCAAGAGCTATTAAGATTCTTAAATACGCTCTTGATAATATAGGGAACCTCTTACATCACGTAGCCCTGCTATAATCATTTGATGCGTATATTATCAGGAGTGAATAATAATAATAATCTATTATTATAATAGATAATATATAATCTATTATTATAATAGATAATATATAATCTATTATTATAATAGATAATATATAATCTATTATTATAATACATAATACATAATCTATAATCTATTATTATAATAGATAATATATAATCTATTATATAATAGAAATAATATATCTATTATTATTCACTCCTGATATTATGTATAAACATTCTACATGACCTACGGGACGGGATACGGGGAGGTAATTAAATTAAAAAATTAAATTAAATTAAAAATTAATTAAATTGAAATTAAATTAAATTAATTAAATTAAATTGACAATTTGTCATTATTAGCTCCTGATATTATTTTCAGTTTTTACTGACTGTCCCAAGTGCCTGTGGCCCATCCCCTCTCTCGCCGTCATGCGCGCGAGGAGAAGTTACGAGGGGAAAGTGAACTGCTTTCTGAGCCCATTTCGATGAATAATTCTCCACCCGGATGCCGGCCGTGGATGAAA